AATTCAAAATTTTATAAATATTATATATTTAATTTTTAGTAATAATAAGGTTTTGAATGTTTTTAATGAGTTACTATGATTTTATTTGATCTCTATATATTCTTAGACATGTATAATTGAAAAAACATGATATATAAAAGGGATTACATATAAATGTATTAATATATAATTTGTACTGATTTGGATATAACAAAATATAAAAACTATTTTCAAACAGTTCTCACATGATCATATGAATCCACTCTATAATACATTAAGTAACCGTTTTTTTTATACATACATTATTTTGTATTGTAAAAAAGAAAAAGGCAATTTTTTTAAAGGTTTAACTTGTTCTATAAAAAAATATATTTCACACAATAAAGTATTGAATGATCAGGAAAGTTATATAATGTTCATAATAATTTAAAAATATTATAAATAATACTCTATTATGTTTTATTTTTTATTTCTTATATACATTTATTATAATAGTAATACCTATATTTCTTTGGAATTATCAACATATATTATTCATTCAGGACAAAATAACGAGTTCAATTTGATAACATATTACCCAGATGCTTATATAATATGGTTAAGAACCTTTAAATAATTATATTCTATATAAATTACAGAGATATTTATTCCTTATGTAACGGTATACATTTTTATATCAATAAATATTGTGAATTATTAATTAATAAAAACAAAGATAAAGCAAATTAAATAAAATATTTGTTTATAATTCTATAAATATATTTTTAATCAACATTAATAGAGGTAATAAAATTATTTTATGTCACCGAATATAAAAGGCCATATTTCCTTGATTCATCCAAATAGGCAAGCCAAGAACCTGGAGTTGAATCTTTAAATATATGTTTTTACACATCATTATCTAAATTATTTAGATTATTATATATTTTTATTTTAACAAATTTTCCTCAAGATAATATATTGCCTACAGTATCATTTATAACATATAATTTTATCTGAATAAAACAATTTTAGTGTTTTATAATATTTGTCAAGTTTATATGTTTACAATATGTTTACTACTTTAATGTATGGATATATATGTGTTTATGAATATTTATATGAAAATCATTTATATATATGTCAATATTAGTGCATAAATATATATTGAAATGGTATTTCTTTATTAGATATACCCTTTTTTTTGCTTGATTATTTTTTTTCTACAGTAAATCGAAAAGTAAATATTTTCAAATACATTGAACTGTTAAATGTTATAAATAAAAAGATATATACTTATTTATTCTTTTATAAACTAATGATGTAAACTGACATGCATTCATTTTTACTTAAACACCATATACCATATTTATTTTAAGGGGATAGAATGCATTTATAGCTGAGTATGCGAAGAAAAATATCTAATTTATTTTGTAATAACAGCAAGGATGTGTAAATTATATTTTATTATCATTGTAAAATGATATAACAGTTCTCATTTTTATAATTTTCTATTATGAATTTATTTTGCTTATCACATATCTATACTATTAAAAGGATATATTAGCTTTTTTTTTTTTAAGAATATTATTATAGACAATTTTAAAGTTATATAAAAAATGAAATTTATTATTTATTCTTTTTTAATTATAAATAAAAATCAAATTTTCGTAACATAAATCGTTATGTTATTCAAATATTTTACACACTATTTATCATTTAATATGCATAATAATTTTATATTTAATTACATATTAGGAAATATTTATAAATTGCTTTTTAGTTTTTTTAGAAGTTAATAAAAAAACGAAGGATTAATATATTCATATGAAATAATAAAAATTTTTCACATTAATCAAATAAAAAAAACGTATAAACCTAGTATATTTAACAAAAAAAGAGGAACAAATATATTATGAGTTGCAATAATGGTATCTCCATATACTAATATGATTATAATTAGTAGAACTATAAATAATATTGTAATAAATGTTGAAAAAAAAAACTATTTATAAACTGAAATACAATTTAAATGAATGATATAAAAAATAAATGTATTAATATATTTATTAGCATGCAAAACTCTTATATCTATTTAAGAATATTAATTACATATGAAACGAAAACTTATTAATATAAACCGTAATATATAATGAAATTCTTTTATATTTCTTTTTGTTTATAACAGAAATCCTTTAATTAATGCGTTAATTTAAGAAAAATATGTGTAACTGTATATTTCATTCATATATTCATATGACATATACAAGGATTTTGGTTATAGAGTGAAACATATAGTACAAAATTTTGACATATATACATTTAAATATACTACACATTTTTTTCAATAATTTTTTTTTTTCACTTATGGATTAACAATATTATATATTTTTAGGAATTGTGACTTAATTATTAAAGAAATTTATATTATTTAACATTATTAAAAACATCTTCAAATTTTTAATATACATTAATGGAATTAATTTTTTTTCCAATTTCATATATAAATACTGTAATAGATTATCACAAAAAAAGTTATTTAATGTCAGAATATTCAATTAAACTATAATAATTAAAGAGTAAGATAATTAAAAGTACTATTTTTTTCTTTTGTCTATATAATTTTTATCGTATATAATGATAATATTTTTAAAATAAGCATATTTGCATTGTTTTTTATTTTTATTATTTTGAATATTGAATTTTTTTTAATTTTTCAATGTTACACATATTTGTATGCTTTTTGTAAATATATATTTTAATATTATTATTAATCTTATACACATGTTATTGAGCATTTCTATTACTTTTTTATGTAATAAATACATTTTAGGGACTTTTCCATGGTTTTTTTAAAAAATATATTTTATTATTTATAAAATTTAGTCCTTTCTTCAAGAATCATATGATATATAATATTCTAT